CACAGAGTCACTTTATTGACCAATAATTAGTTGACATGGAACCATTCACAGAGTCACTTTATTGACCAATAATTAGTTGACATGGAACCATTTCAGGAAGTAGCATATGATCAGGAACCAGTGATGAATGAAGAAGTATAAGCTGCACTGATAGCATTGACTGAAAAGGTCTCAGGAATTGAAGGGTACCATGTAGATAAGAGACTAGCAAAAATTTTTTCAAGATTAAAGCCATCAGTTACAGAGTTAGGAAGAGGACACTTCATTTGCACTTGATAGAAATGTAAGTTATTACAGCTCCTTTGGAAAATGTATTTGTTTTCATTTTAAAGGAGATCTGGTGGCTTAGTGGTAAGGAGTTGCACTTCCAACCCAAAGGCACACAGTTTCAATCCAGCAGCTGCTCTACAGAGAAATTATGGGCAAACTCCCCCTCTATGATTTACTGCCTCTAAAACCCCTCTGAAGGATTAGCTATGAGTCAGTTTCAACTTGTTGATATACAACATTTTATAGCAACAAAATCACAATATTATGTACAAAGAAGAACCCAGATGGCACAACAGTTAAGTGTTTAGCTGCAAAATGAAAAGCTGGTGATTTGAACTCTCCCAGTAACTCTGTGGGAGAAAGATCTGCCCACCAACTCTTTTTTATAAATGATAGCCTAGAAAACCCTGTGTGGTAGTTCCATTATGTATAAGAAGTCACTGTGAGTTGAAATCACCTCAAAGGTACCTTATACCAGCAATATATAGGCAATACCGAGATTACAAATGTCTAACTTCTAGATAGCTTATACTTGCCCTTTAATATTTCCTAAGTTTGTCCTCACTTTGAAATGATTGAGCCAACTCCTTGCAACAAATTTTTCATTGCAATCACTTTCACATTCTGCTTTTAAGCCATTGATAATACTTTAAGCCTTTTCTTAGACTGCAAAACTTCTCTCTCTCACTCGCTCACTATGAGTTCTTACTGATTCATAATGATATTCATTTGGGTTTGTAAGGCTGATAGTGGCTATGAATTGCTGGAACCATCTTCAGAGTTTCTCTTGGCCAGTGCTGTCTAGTCAGAACTGATTCATAGCTGATCGTTCATTTGGTTTTTGAGGCTGTAAATCTCATAGGAGGAGATTGACCATTTTTTTTTCCCTCAGACGTGCTGGTAGATTTGAACTACCAAAGAAGTGTGGCATTGGGGTTAGCAGAGCAAAGCAACTCCCTATGAACTGTACCACCAGAATGCCTTTTTCCACAATTTATTGAACTATTATTTTTAAGTGTTTTAAAATTCTGACCAAGCAGCTATATTTAAAAGCACCCAAGTATGTCATTATTATATTATTATTATTAAGCTTTTCTGTTTTCACTGAAAAAATGAGTTCTTAGAACCATTTTCCCCCCCCAGTATAGATTTTTTACTATATCTAAGCTCTGGTGGCTTAGTGGTAAGGAGTTGTGCTGCACCCAAAGGTCCATGGTTCAAATCTATAGTCAGTCTTCTCTCATGTGATTTACTGCCTCTGAAAACTCACTGAAGGGTCAGCTATGAGTTGATTTCTGATTCAACAGTACACAAGAACAACAACAATTTAACATTTGAGTTTGTAAGAAAATGAAATCTATTACATAAGTTTCTGGGTTTTTTTAAAATTAATTTTTCCCTTCATTAAAAATGTCTAGATTTTAGGTACTTTTTTTGTGACTGCAAAATGTATATATTTGGTTTTAGATGTAACAGGATAATGTGAAATTATTTGGAGCAGAATAGCATTGGCTTATATGGATAAATCAACTGAAAATATAGGTAACTCTTATGGATTAATTAAATTTACTGTTATTTTCAAAACCTTTTTGATTTTGTATATTTGGTAAAAATTGTTTAATAGAATATCACTGGATTTTTCCTCCAAATATTACAGAAGAGATTAAGGTATAACTACTTGATTATTATGTTGATCATTTAAAAGATGTATTTATGTTCCTAGAGTATTCTTACTATCTTTCTTTTTTTTTAATACTGCTTCAGATTCGCTCAATTGAAGGCCAGTATGGCACACTTCAAGCTTATGTGACTCCCAGAATTCAACCTAAAACCTGCCAGGTCCGCCAGTACCAGATAAAACCCCTTTCACTTCATCAAAGAACTCATGTTATTGATCATGACAGGTAGGAAAGAAGAGAAAATTGTTCATTTTTAGAATATTACACAGTCCAGATAACCTTTCTATTTCTAGTATAAGTTCTGGACTTACCTTTATATTTTAAAAGGTTAATACTTAAAATTCCGAAGAGTTTTTATTTCTAATAATAAATATAGATCACTGAGTAATTCTTTGTGATATAGGAACCTATTTTGTTATCTTCAAACTTGACATTCCTATTCTGTGTCACATCAGGGAATGCTGGTAGAATAATTGGCATTGATTATGATATGCCCACTGATACCTAGCCAATTCTGATTCATAGTGATCTCATGGGACAGAGTATCACTCCCCTGTTAGGTTTCCAAGACTGTAATCTTTTACGTTATGCTGATAGCAAAACCATGCTTTCTGAAACTGAGGCAGACCTGAAGTGCTTATTGCAGAAAGTCAAGGACTGTAGTCATCAATGTGTATTGAAGCTCAACATCAAGAAGACAAAGATTCTCACCACTGTGCCAATTGGCAGTACCATGATGGATGGAGAAGAGATTGAGTTTGTTGACAGTTACAATTTTCTCAGCTCCACAATCTTGGCAGCAGCAGTCAGGAAATCAAATGACAAATTGCATTAGGTAAATCTGCTGTCAGGGACCTTACCAGAGTACTGAGAAGCAACAGTGTCAGTCTAGAGACTACGGTGCACCTGATCCAGTCCATGGTCTTCGCAATTACGTGCTATGCATCAGAGAGCTGAGTAATGACTAAGGATGTCAGAAGAAGAATCAATGCCTTAGAGTTGTGATACTGGAGAAGAGTCTTAAACATACCATGGACTGCTAAGAAAACAAATAGGTCTATCTTGGAGAGTGAAACCAAGTTTCTCATTGGAGTCTAGGATTTTGAAGCTCCATGTTACATACTTTGAGCACGTGTTCAAGAGAGACCAATCCTGAGAGAAGGACATCATGCTCAGAAGGATGGAGGGCCAGCATGGGAGAGGAAGACCCCGGCTGAGATGGATTGATATAGTAACTAGGGTAATGGGGGTAGGTGTGTCTGAGTCAGTGAGACTGGCTCAGGATAGAGCAGAGTTTAGAGCTATATGCACATAGTGTCCATAGTGTCGCTGTGAGTCACAGTCAACTTGACGGCCCATAACTACAACTGTTTAGGAAACAGACTGCCAAATTTTTCTTTCAAGGTTGATGTGTGTATGTGAACTTCTGACCTTTTTGTTCTGATAACCAGAAAACCAAACCACTACTGTTGAGTCAATTTCAATTCATAATGACCTTTACCAAGTTTTTACTGGAAGACTATCAAATTTTCTTCTGAGGAGAAGCTGATGAATTGGAGTTAGTAGCCTGGCATGTTTCATGTTTTACCACCAGGGCTTGTGGTGATGGTGTTATAATGTGTTGTCTGGCCGACTACAATACATACTGAATTGTATGCACAATAGCTCTGAACTCTGCTCTATACTGAGCCAGTCTCATTGTCTTTGTGTGGCACACCTGCCCTCATTACCTCAGTTATTGTGAAAATATATCTCACCTGGGGTTTTCCTTTCCTGCATTATCCTTTGACCTTTCCAAGCATGATATCCTTCTCCAAAGACTGGTCCCTCTGGGCTACATACACAAAGTATGTGAGATGGAGTCTCAACATTCTTGACTCTAAGGAGCAGCTTGGTTTCACCTTCTCCAGAACAGACCCGTTGTTCTCTTGGTGTTCCATGATATATTCAATACTCTTCTGCAGCACCACAACTCAAAGGCCTCAGGTCGTCTTCTATAATCCTTGATCATTGTACAGCTCTCTGATGCATAGCAAGTAATTGCAAAGATCATGGCCCGGATATCCGGCATATGTTAGTCTCTATACTGACATCCTTGCTCTTCAGCAGTCTGGAAAGTTCCTCGACAACAGATTTTTTCTAATGGAATTTAATTTTATTTAACTTGATTCTTTTTATTTCTTGACTGCTGGTGCCAAGAGTGTTGATTGTGAAACTGAGGAAGCTCAAATTGTTAACCATCTTTTATGATGACATTGCCAGTTGTCTTTGTTTTATTGCTGTTGAGCTTCATATTGCAAACTACAGTGCTTTACTCTCTGCAGTGAATGCAGCCCCTCCTCAGTTTCAGCAAGTAAAGTTGTGTCATATGCATAACACAGTTTGTTATTGAGTCTTCCTCTAATCCTGATACACATGAAACAGCTATGATAGTCCCTATAATATCTGCTGTCCACTTAGTTTAAGAATCATCATATTCATAGTTTTATCTTTTTAATTTTTTCTGAAGCTGAGGGATCATTGACTTAAATGCAAGGGAAGAGAAAGAAATTTCATAGTTATTAAAGGTTTTCTCTGTGCCAGGTGACTATACATCAGGTTTATACATATGACAAGTAGTTAAAGTCTCCATTTTATGAGAATTAGAATCTTAGAAAAGTATATGTATTTGATTTGATCTGAAGCCAAACTCATGTTCTTTATATCATTGTTGATAACAAAAAGGTATATGATTAATTAGAATGAGGAATCTCGCTAATGAAAATGTCTAGAAAATATTAAAGAGAGAATAGGTTCAGCATAGTGCATTACATGTTTGGCTGCTAGTGGAAAGATCAGCATGTGCTCAGGTATTCAGAGGAATAATGAGGTATTGTTCTCCTGTAAAGATTTACAATTTCGAAGACATGATCAAAAGTTGGCATGAGTCAGACTCAACTTGAGGCAATGATGGTTTTGGTTTATTTGTTTATAGGGTTTTTTTGCTTACACGTAGAATCTTTGTTAATGGAATCAGTACAGTGTGGTTGGGGGGTCGGAGGGGACACCAAGAAAATGAATATTTGGAGTCTTGGATTCTAATCTTGTATCTGTTCCTTGTGACTTTGGTGATAAAATTTGGTCTTTCTGGGTTTTCTTATTTGCAAATGAGAAGATTGATCTGGATGATATAAAATTTTAATAGTTGTCAGGTTCCTTAATTCCAGGAATTCCTTCTGAAGCTTTAATTATGTTGTTGTTTTTGTTGTTAGGTGCCATCGAGTCAAGTACGACTCATAGCAACCCTATTAGCAAAAGATCTGAATCCAGCCCTGTCCTGCACCATCCTCACAGTTCCTGACACACAAGGGCCCATTGCAGCAGTCACTTTGTCAGTCCACCTGGTTGTGGGTCTTCTCTCCTTCGCTGGCCCTCCACCCTTCCAAACATCATGTCCCTCTCTAAGGAATAGCACCTCCTAGCAATATATCCAAAGTATCTCAAAGACATATCTGTTCATTCTCTTGACCATCCATAAATGTTCAGTGTTCTTCTCCAACACCACAGCTCAAAGGCATCAATTCTTTTTCTGTCATTCTTACTCATTGTTCAGGTCTCAGATGCATGGCTAGTAATCAGAAAGACCATGGCCTGAATCATATGCACCTTAATCCTCAAACTGACATCACTACTCCTCAATAATTTGGAAAGGTCCTTAGCTGCAGATTTTCCTATTGCAGTGTGTCTCCTTATTTCCTGACTGCTTATAACAAGGGTGGTAAGTGTGGATCCAAGCAAAATGAAGCTGTTGACAGTTTCAATCTCCTCTCCATCCATCATGACATGGCCTATTGGTTCAGTGCATTCCTTTATCTTCTGCAACAAGTGCTTCACATCCTCCTCACTTTAAGCAAGCAAGGTTGTGTCATTTGCATAATGCAGGTTATTGATGAGTCTCCTTCCAGTCCTGATGCCACACTCCTCTTCATAGAGTCCAGCTTCTTGGATAATTTGCTCAGCATATGATTGAAAAAGTATGTAGACAGAATACATCCCTGACACACTCCCTTTCCAATTCCAAACCATGCAGTGCTTCGCTGCTCCATTCACACAGTAGTCTCCTGGTCCAGATACAGATTCCATATTAGCACAATCAAGTGCCCTGGGATTCACATTCTTCTCAGTGTCAGCCACAACTTGTCGTGATCCACACACAATAAAGCACAAATAGACATTCTTCTGGGATTCTTAACTTTCAGCCAGGATCCATTTGACATGAGCAATGATATCCCTGGTGCCATGGCCTCTTCTAAATCCTGCTTGAACTTCTGGCAATTTCTTATCTAGGTACTGTTCCAGCTTTGTTTTTGAATGATCATCAGCAATATTTTGCTAGCATGTGATATCATTGATATTGTTGAATAATTTCCACATTCAGTTGTATCACCCTTCTTGGTAATAGGGATAAATGCAGACCTCTTCAGTCTGTTGGCCAGATAACTGTCTCCCAAATTTCCTGGCATAGACTGGTGAGTGCATCCAAAGCTGCATCTGTTAATTGAAACAAGTCAATCAGTATCTCATCGATTCCTGGGGCCTTATTTTTTGCCAATGCCTTCAATGCAGCTTCCACTTCCTCTTTCATTACCGTTGGCTCCTGTTTATATGGTACTTCCTGAAATTTTTCAGTGTCAATGAATTCTTTCTGGTACAGTGTATTCCCTCCATCTTCTTTTGATGTTTCTGGGTCATTCAATAGATGTCCATAGCATCTTTCAACATTGTGACACAAGGCCTAAATTTGTTTTTCAGTTCTTTCAGCTTGAGAAATGTAGAACGAGTTCTTCCCTTTTTAACCTCCAATTCCAGCTCTCTGCTCATTCCATTATAGTTTCTTTGGCCTTCCAAGCTACCCTTTGTATCTGTTCAGCTCTTTTACTTCAACATTTTCCTTTAGATTTGGCTTCCCAACATTCCAGTGCAATCTTTAGAGTCTCTTCTGACATCTATTTCATTTTCTTCTCTCTCTGTTTTTGTAATGACCTTTTGCTGTCTTCATTGATATCCTTGATATTATCCCACAACTCATCTGGTCTATGATTAGTGTTCATTGCCAAAAACCTATTTTCAAGATGATAATGAAATTTTGATGGAATTGATTCAAGATCATATCTTGGTTCCTGAAAACTTATTTTCGTTTTCTTTGGCTTCAACTTGAACGTGCATATGAGTAATTGATGATCTGACCCACAATCTGCCTCTGGCTTAGTTTTGACTGCTGATAATGAGCTGAAGCAAGGTTTCAGTCTCTGTTTCTTACTGCAAACCCTCAGGCTTTGTCATCATATTAGGTTGTTCTTTACTTAAGGAGACTCTTATGTATATTGTGCATGTGTTATAGATTTTATAGAAATACTAAATGAACTTTAAAAGATAAAATTTACCTGAGTAAGTTGGAGTTTATTTGTAAAGTATGTAATAATGGGGAGGGGAAGATGTAGTCGGGTTCGTTTTTATGCTACTTAACAAATTAGCAAAATATCTAGTGCCCTTTTTAATATTTTATTCCATGAGATTATGTATAGGTACTTGAGAAAAAAATTACATGAGCATATTTGTTTAGCTACTATTGCAAAATCCTACTTGTTCAGTTATGTATATATATATATAGTCTGTATCATATTCTCATGCACATTTTCATACTCTTTTATTAAATTACAGACCCATGAACACACTGACTCTATCAGGCCAGTTCAGTTTTGCTGAAGTTCACTCCTGGGTGGTCTTTTGCCTTCCTGAAGTTCCTGAAAAACCTCCAGCAGGAGAATGTGTGACATTTTACTTTCAGAACACATTTTTGGATACACAACTTGAAAGTACCTACAGGTAAATCAGACTTATCCCTAGTTCATAACTCTTGTTTTTATTTAAATAAATGAAGCTTCTAAGTTTTCATTTACTTTAAAGTAGGTATAACTTGAAAATAATTAGTTTGAAAACCTGGACAATTCAAGTGAATCTGTTGAAAACAGAATTAATGAATTTAGAATGAATGAATGAGTTTAGAATTAATATATAAGGATGAATACCATTTATAATTTATCAACAACTAGTTGAAAAAGAAATTGTTTAAAAAAGATACATTTCAGAATGTTGTTGTTGTTGATTTCGTCGAGCATGACTCAGTGACTCTAAAAACAAAAGGTCTGAAGCCTTTCTGTAACTATCATCATTTATCAAAGTTCATAGAGTTTCCAAAGGCATGTTGTTTAGGAATTTCAGAATAGCAATGACAAATAGAAAGTAGTCACATAAAATTCATAGGAATATTCTTAATCATAGAGAAAATGTATGTGAATAAACACTTGATTAAGTACAATAGCCTATAGTCATCAGTTGTGGTACTAGCAAAGAGTCTTGAATACCATGGACTGTAAAAAGAACAAACAATTCTGTCTTGGAGAAAATACAGTCCTTTCCTCCTTTATCTCACATACTTTGAACATGTTGTTGGAAGAACCAGTCTTTATGAAAAGACATCATGCTGGGAAAGGTAATGGGTCAGAAGAAGAGGAAGACTCTCAGTGAGATGAACTGTACAGAGACTGTAATAATGGGCTTGAGTATGTATCGGAGATTGTGAAGATGGTGCTGATCAGGCAAGGTTGCTATGAGTTATAGTCATCTCTCTTTCCCTCTCCTCCTTCTGAACAACTTAACAACAACAGTAACAACATAATCATCAGTTAGATAATATTGTAATGATGGTAGTCCACATATTACTTGAATATTTGTCATAATTCAAAAGAATGCTCCAATTGAATTTTATACAAAAATAAGAAACGACTTAAACTTCAGAGGACCAAATAGGCTTTTTGAAACTTATAATGTGGAGGACAGTGTATTTTTCTATACTCTTAGAGTCCCAGTTGTACTTCTTTCCACTTAATACTTAACAGTCATCTTCATTGAGCTCCATGAAGCCCACAGTTTTGCTGCCATCATCTTTATTCCAACTTATAGCAGTCCTAAAGAAAACACTGCCTCAGTAGAGTTTTCAAAGCCAAAATCTTTAAAATTAGCTTCTTTGCCTCATCCTTCTCCTACAGAGAGGCTGGTGGATTTGAACTACCAACCTTTTTGATTAGCATCTGTTTGCTTAACACCATGACTCCTTATGGATTCCATAGTTCCTTCTGAATATATAAGAGGTGAAACTTTCCTTTCTTCTTTGTACCTATCTCTGAAAGTGAAATGGTCCACATGTCAGGCAAGACTAAGTTTTCTACATCTGCTGTTTTAGTTCATACCCTCTTCTTCAATGTTTTTTGCATTCTTTTTTTATTGTTTATGTAATAGTTAATCAGTAAATTCTTTTTTAAATATTAAAAAATTATTTTTACCACCTTTATCTTTTATACAATTATTTACATAAATTGTTTCATTCACATATATTTTGTATAATCATTTCTGTACATTGTATTTTATATAATTACTTACTATTGATCTGTTACTTGTTGCACATTTTCTTCTCCCTATCCCCAGCCCTCTCTGAAATGTACCCCTTGTTCCAGATTGTTGTCATACGTATAATGCCTAGTCATACATTCATTCAGACTGTTCTTCCCCTCATCTGATGTAATGCAGTGTTAATTACCTATCCACTCTTTTCCTATTCTCTCCCCATCCCTCCCATCCACATCTGTCCTGTTTTATAAAAGTGATGTTATGCTGTATATGTCCTTTTATGACTGGGATATTTCACTCAGAATAATGTCCTCCAGGCTCCCTCATGTTGTGTAATGTTTTACAAGTTCATTATTTTTCATTGCTGTGTAATATTCCATTGTGTGAATGTACCATGGTTTTTCTAACCATTTGTTTGTTGATGGACACTTGTGTTGCTTCTATCTCTTTGTTGTTGTGTGCGTACATCTCTTTGGGTCATGCCTCTGGTTTCGTTAGAGTATATTTATTCCCAGTAGTGGAATTACTGGGTCAAATGATATTTCTATATTCATCTTTTTAAAAAAAATTTTTATTGATATTTTAATGAAAGTTTATAAAAACTTGTGTTTCCAATTGTTCATCGTTGCATATTTTCCTTCCTATCCTCTCTGCCCCTCTGCCAGATTGCTTTTTTGTGGGGAAGAAGTTCTTTCATTGTTACATAGCCCCCCCCCACACACACCCTCAGACCACTTTACTATGCAGCTCTTATTCTGGACACTTGTCATGCCAATAATACCTAATCAATCTGTCCATATTTCATTAAAGTTGTTTGGGGGTTTTTTGTAGAGGGTAGTTTCTTATTCTCTCTGCTTTTGAAGCATTCTTACCTTAAACAGATTACTGATTTTCTTACCCTATGCAGATTCTACTGCTAAGCTTTAGAAACAGTAACATATAGTTTTACCTCAAAAGAAAGTCTTTTAGGATCAAGAGATTACTAAAAATGTAAATACTTTTAAGTTCTGTGTATGTATTCTACTGTACCCACCAGATTCACCTGTCTGTACAGAAATCTAAAATAGTTCTGTTTTGAAACAGCACTTTGTCATGAACTTCATACTTTAATCACAGCATGCCTCTTAACTCACCATCAGTATATTCTGACTCATGAGTGACCCTCCATCAAGTTTCCATAAATTCTATGAATATTAATATGAGGAGACTGCCTATCTTTCTCACACAGAGCCACTGGTGGTAGATCAGAACTGTTACAGACACTTGGCCCTTTGCTTAGTAGTAGAACACAGAGCAACTTGTACCTAGACCATTAGATAGCAGACTTTTGCTCTTTACTAAATGTGTCCTGTGTTGTCCAGTCATTTTTTTGGATAATTTTCAGCAGGATCTTGCTTACATATGACAATAATGATATTGTTCAATAATTTCTACACTTTGTAAGGTCATCTTTTTTAATTTTTTTAGTAGAAACAAATATGGATATTTTCCAGTCAATTGGCCAGGTTGTCCTCCAGATTTCTTGGCACAACTTGGGGAGCGCATCCAGGGAAGTGTCTATCTGTTGAAATGTCAGTTGGTATGCTGTCAATTTCTGAGGCTTTGTTTTTTGCCAGTTCCTTCAGAACAGCTTGAACTTTCTCCTTCATCACCACAGGCTCTTGATCACATGTTGTTTCAGAAAATTCTTCTGTGTTAGCCAATTCTTTTTGGTATAGTGACTTTGTGTATTCCTTCTATCTTTTGATCACCATTCTGCCCACAGCATCCTTAAGTATTACAACTCAATCTGTTCTTCTGTTCCTTCAGCTTAAAAAAATACTGAGTGAGTTTGGCCCTTTTGATTTTCCAACTCAAGCTCTTTGCACATTTCATTATAAGGTTCAGGCTAGGTTTAGAAGAGGCTGTGGCACTAGGGAAATTATAGCCAATGTTAAATGGATCTTAGCTGAAAGTAGAGAGTACCGGAGAAATGTCTGTGTTTCATTGGCTATGCAAAAGCATTTGATTGTGTGAATCACACCAAACTGTGGCTAACTCTGAGAAGAACAGGAATCTCAGAACACTTGATTATGTTTATGTGAAACTTATACTTGGACCAGGAGGCAGTCATCAAAACAGAGCAAGGAAGTACTGCATAGTTCAAAATCAGGAAAGGAGTATGCCAGAGATGCATCTTCTCTCCTTACCTTTTCAGTCTGTATGCAGAACAGATCATGTGGAAAACTGGGCTTTGAGAGGAGGGAATATTACATCAGGATTAGAAGAAGTTTTATCAACAGTCTTATTATGCAGATGATACAACCTTGCTTGCTAAAACAGAAGAGGACCTGAGGCATTTAATGCAGAAGATCAGGAACTGCAGTCTTGAATATAGATAAAAGCTCAATATCAAGAAAACAGATTCTCACCCCTGGGCCAATTGGCAGCATCATGATAGACAGTGAAGAGATTGAGATTTTTGTTAACAACTTCAGTTTGCTTGGCTCCACAGTCATCACTCTTGGTACCAGCAGCCAGGAAATCAAAAGGCAAATTGCATTGGGAAAGTCTTCTGTCAAGGATATCTTCAGAGAATCTTCAGAGAACTAAAGAGCAATAATGTCAGTCTAGAGACTAAGGTGCATCTGATCTAGGCCATGGTCTTCGCAATTACTTGGTGTGTAGACAGTGACTAAGGATGATAGAGAATTCATGCCTTTTGAGTTGTAGTGTTGGAGGAAAAATACTGAATATAGCATGTATTGCTAAGAGAACAAACAGGTTTGTGCTGCAAAGAGTAAAACAGGTTGCTCCTTGGAGGCAAAGATTTTGAAGCTTTGTCTAACATACTTTGGGCAAGGAGGGACCAGTCCTTGGAGAGGGACGTCATGCTTGGGAAGATGGAGGGACAGCATAAGAGAGGAAGACTGGATAAGATGAATTGACTTACTGACTGAGGTAATGGGGATAGGTCTGTCAGAGACAATGAAGTTGGCTTAAGATAGAACAGGTTTCAGAGCTGTTGTACATAGCTAGCACATAACAACAACAATAAATGTGCCCTCAGCATTTCTTAAGCTAAAGGAGTTGAAAAACAAATTCAAGCCATGGGTGGCAATACTTAAAGATAGTTTGAGCAGAATGTTGAATGGTCCAGGAAGTATAAAAAGAAGATGGAAGGAGTACACAGAGTCACTGTATCAGAAGGAATTGGCTGACACAGAGGAATTTCATGAAATAACATTTGAGCAAGAGCCTATGGTGATGAAGGAGGAAGTTCAAGTTGTTGTAAAGGAATTGGCAAAAAACAACTCAAAAAACAAAAAAAAGTCTCCAGGAGTTGACAGCATATCAATTGATTTATTACAACAAACCGACGCTTCCCTGGATGTGCTCACTAAGTTGTGCCAGGAAATATGGAGGACAGCCAACTGGCC